GCAGGAATGATAAAAATGTTATGTTTGTGTTCTTCTCTTCACAAGTTTAGAAAAACATTATTGACCCCAGATACTGTAATAATGTTTTTGAATGCCTAGATCAGGTCATGTAAAGGAAAAAAGCATGAAGATCTACTAACTTAAAGCATTTTCCTATCTAATGTTCAAAATATATCTGAATAGTGTAGGTAAAGAATAGAAGAACTTTTCTTTTTTGCACCAGAATAAACTTAACAGTTTTTTCGTATAAATATTTTCTTTAAAAAATGTTGAAAGGTTTAATAAGGTAGTGAGACATTACCTGCTTAAGGGAGCCTTTAACAGGATCATACTGATATTCACAAAAGAAGATATGGTCTGATATCACATATCCACTGCATGAAGGCATATCATTTTTCTTTCTGACTTCACATTTCCCTTCTATAGCCTCTGTAGACAGTACATGTGTTTCTTCGCTGTAATAGACCTAAACAAAATTTGCCGAAAGAGAAAAATATAAGCTTATTAAGAATCCAACAGATACGATATTCCTCCTCTCGAATCATCGCTAAATGGAATAATTTGGACAGAAGTTTTACCTCTTGAATGTCTGAAGCATACGCCTTCTCGGCGGAAATATCTTCAGGCCTATAAAACCTCCTCACTTTAACCTCGGTGGAACTCAGTTCACCCTTTCTTCTAGCTCCCTGCGGAACAATGATTTCCAATAACTGGCAAATAACAAATGCCCTTAGCCCAACATTCCTCCCAGACTTAAACGTTTCACTCTCTGCCTTCTCTCCATTAAAGTAGCCAGAGTTGACATAGACATAATCATTCGTTGAGTACTCAACTCCATTGCAGAAGAACCCTGACTTGGAAGCATTGAGTTTGAATGATTCTTTTTTCTCTTCCTCCTCCCTTATTGCGCAGGATCTGCATGATCCAGAACCGAGGCCCATATCACCCAATGGAAGACTAAAGAATGCCCCTCTCTCTGGCCAGTATAAGCTTTTGCAGTAATACTCTGTTGGCAGTTCTTTCCTTTTTCTTTCTTCCGCTCTTGCTAGGTCAAGCTTATCGGCATTAGCGTTCTCTTTCCTGCATTGATGCCCCCATGGCCTAGATCTAATTTCAAGAAGAGCTGTTCCCTTTATGTCCTTCAACTCAAAACTCATACATTCATTCGTTAGAAACAGTTCCCTCTCATTACCTGCATTTCCAAGAACAGTCTGGGATCCTCTACACATGAGTCTTCCATGAAACATTTTGCAGCCATCTAATCTCTCAAACATGTACTCCACGAAATAGATGGCAGGGAATTCGTTCGATTCCTCAGCCAACAAGACAGCACCACCCACAGCAATCATTTCCCCACCAACGGATGCTTGTCTATATAGAGGCTCATCGGCAGACTTTTTTCCTATTGGCTCCCCATCCCACCTTATTTCCTTCTTCCCAGAACTGGCCCGGATTTTCTTCAGAGAAGGAGGAGATTTCTCAGCCTTGTCTGATTCCTGAAGATTATCTTCAGCATCATCTTCCTCATTCTCATCCTGATCTTCGGCTTCGTCCTCCTCTTTTGCCTCTTCATTGACCTGTGCAGAATCCTCTGGAGAGTAATTGGAGTAATACTCCCCCCAGATTCTGTTGATCAATCGAGTGGTTGTCGCTTGCATAGCCTTTCTCTTGGATGCCACAGGTGCCATACCTGCCCTTGGATTCAGATTTGGCTCTTTCAGCAAGATTTTCTTCTTTTTGACTACCCATTTGGTGTGGTGCCTCGCCTCCATTTTGTCTGCAAGACCAACAACAAATGGGCATCTTTTGATATCCTTATCCGGGAATTCTGCAAAAAGCTGCAGAATTATTTGCCCGTGGACGACCACATATCTCTCGACAACTACAGGATCAGAGGAAATGTAAGCTTTATCATCCTTCTTGAACTCTGCCAATTTCTTTATGACATCTGCAAATGAAAGCCTCGCAACTCTACTTTGCTCCTTCAGCAGAGTAATAATGCTAATCGCAATTCTTGCTGTTTTCATAACAGGTTCATACCATGGGGAGTACTGCTTTGAAGGTTTCCCAAGCCGATACCTGAATACACAAAAAAGTTAGCGACAAGAAGAAAGAACCGAAGTCAAGAAAGATTTGTCTGTTACAGATTCGAAAAGACAACATACCAGGCCATATCTGTTCGGATCGATATGAAGATCATCGACGCGCCAAACTCGATCATCCACTCTTTGATTTGACTCAGAAATACGGGCATGCCATCAGGATCCTGGGATTGCGAACCCCCTGAAGAACCAGAATCTGTCTCAAGGCAAAACCCGCTTCCATCATCGTCAGTCACTATTCCAGACCCAAAAATAGTGACATCAATATCAGCACACGGCTTCATGGGAAGAAGCTCCAAGGAAATCAACCTTGAGTCAGAGTTGTACAACGCCCAATTGTGAAGCATACTGCGAGGGAGGTGGTCAGTGTCATATTCCTCATACTCAGCGTCAAAAACTATTAGCTCGTCGGTTTCTTCTTTGGAGTTCTTATAATATGATGGGAGTGGATAGTCATTTGCTATCTCATCTTCATTGATCTTTATGTAGAACTTATTCGACGCAGCAACTGAGCGGCTATTTTTCCTGGGCCTCATGGATTTTCTATATTCTTCATCTTGCAGAACTTTGGCCAGCTTTTCATCATCCTCAGCAGCATCGGTTTGATCAGAGGTTAAGGCCCTGTTCTCTACATCCGCGGCATTTCCACCAATCTTCAGAGCCCCACTGGAAGATTTTGTGTCCATTTGGGCAAAATTTTCATGTTTGCTACTCTCATCTCTGAGAGCAACGAGAACGGGAATCTCCGCAAAATTTGTATCATTCTTCTTTGCGGTTTCGTCCAAGCCAGCCAGTTGGTTATATATGAATTCGCCTTGGGATATGACAAATTCTTTGACAGCGGCCCCACTGGAAAAGCTCTTGTTTCCAATCATCGACCTAACAACCCCAGCTAGCAACTCATCAAGACTGACATCAGGATCCCCTCCTGAAGCCTTAGACAATTTCTTGTACACATCCACCGAAGCACGTGCCTTCTCAACAAAATAGCAAAAAATATTCTTGTAGGTGTTAGCAGGTTTGTGGCAATCGTAGTCTGCCAAATCAGTAGAGAGCCAGATCACTGGAGAGCCATCTTCATAACCAGAGATACTCCAAGTTTCCACCCGGCCAAAGAAATGGCATCTGATGCCTTTTTGTTTTTCCTTGTCAGAACTTTCTTCGAGCGGCAAGATGAGACCCGAGATGAACATGTCATCAACTTCTAACATCTCAACAGGCTGTGGAACCCCATTTGAATCATGCAAGACGAAGTCAGTTAGTTTCCTGTTTGGGCGAGCTTCATCGTTCCGAGCAGAAGTTAGGCGTATTGCGAGAATTTCTTCCTCAGCATACTGCTCCTTCTTTGATTCAACAAGACAAGATGCTTCAGACATTCGAACAGATTTTTCCTTGAAATTTGTGCAGGCAGCAGCTCTCCTTGGTCTCCTCCTGGGCACATCATGTAACTCAGCAGAATCTTGACGACCTCTCTTCTTTGTCTGCCCAGTCTTTTTCTCCTTACCCTTTGTAACTGCAGTTCCTTTTCTCCCTTTCTTTGTATCCACACCTATCATAGAGCAACATATTCCAAAGTTCAATAAAATTTAATCCATAAGAAATAAAAGTAAAGTGGAGTTTCAAGATCAGCTAGAGAACATAGAAGGCATAGAGAAAAAAAGGCCCATGAAAATATGGAATCACCTAGTGAAATATCTTCTACCTCCTCAAATCTTCTCTTGCCAGATAAAATCCAATTTCGAAGAATAGATGAAGAATGATTATTCATATGCTAACCGAGTTCTAAATTCCTCACATCCCTACATTATCAGCATGTGATAGAACCTAGAGCATTCCATCAGCATGCTTTATCACATATTCACATGCTGATACAAACTTACAAGCACGCTCAGATATGGCCGAACCAGATCAAGCATGTACTTATATTGATGTTATCATGTCATTTTAACGGGAAGAAAATCCCTACCACGATTTTAGAAACACGTAAGTAGCAAGAACTTAAAGAATAAACAACTTGCACTCTTAGCTGGCTCAAGGTAACAAATCTCTGAAAGAAGAGAACGCATGATTAATTGCATCAAAGCAAAATCTTATTCTCATACTCTCGTAGGCAATCACAATCGAAGCGCGTAGAAAACACGCACCAGATACACAATTATAAGATACATTAATATGAATATGTGATGATTTTTTTCGGTTACTAATTATATATTACTCAAATTTAAGCATCATTAGCAGGTGTATCAAAACAAACACAATGTCATTTGATTGGTTACGGAATTCTAGAATCCTTCAACTCCAATCAAGCTCGAAAGCGCGTGAAATCACTCGCGGCATACGCGAGTATGTTCTATATCAAACAATGATATACGTTTAGATTGATGAATTCGAATACCCGATATGGAATTCACACCAAATAATCTTTCCTTTACATCACTTCAAAACAGATCAAGAACGGTCATTTACCAAAACAAAAACATTCTCAGGAACAGGCATATAAAGCCTAAAACCCAAAATTCCCATTTTAGAGTTCTAGAAACCCAATAACAACGTACCAAAACGCATACAAAACAACGAATTCAAAAGTTATTCCCAAAACATTCAGCAAATCAAACCAAACCCACAGAAGCAAGCAATCCACACACCAACATGAGATCAAAATTCGAGGTCTAACCCTAGGAATTCACGCTGATGCAAGACACCATAAAACCCAAAATTCAACCCAAGGGGACGGAAATCGCCGATTTCATACCATCAGAGGAGGAATCAATGACGGGGTTCACGGGCTCGCCGGAAGCAGATGCGACGGCGTCATCGGCGGCGGAGGAAGGGTTCAAACGAGTGGCAGATCCCATTGACGATTAACGATTCTGGAAAACGAGGTCGGACAGGAACTTGCGAGAAGCAACGAAATCACCCGAACCCAAACCCAAAGAGCAAACAAAAACTTTTTTTTGTGAGATCGAGAAAACAAAATTGAGAACCTTAAATACTGCGGTTGGGCATGAACAGTCTCCCCAGTAAGCACCGTTTCGCCGACGGCGGGAATCCAGCTTTTCTTTTCCCGCCCAATCGGCGTCCAGGAAAAATACGGCCATGAAGATTTCTTTTTTTTTTTTTACTGAAAGATTTTTACCTCTAACCAAAATATATTTTATATTATTTATTAGTTTTTCATGTAATAATACACTCGATTTATATGTTAATTTAGTATAATTTCACAAGTGTAACAAATTAATATTAGTCTTCAAGAAACGATGCTACTCGGACGTAAATTCGTTTATCAAGTGAAAATTTTAAAAATAAAGGACGAAACTAATTCATTTATCAAATGTAACATTGATTGATCGATGGTAAAAAGTTTTTATTTTAACTTATTGTGACTCACTTATAGATTAAATTGATGAGAATAGACCAAAATTACTTCGTATACCACATGTTAAAACGATATTAATGTATTTTTAATAAATGTTATATTTTTTCAATTCGATAAATTTTTAAAATGAATAAATGTATTAAAAGTTATTATGTTAATATTCGTTGCAGTGAATTTAGTAAGTAACGTTTGGAAAAGAACTAATTCGGCAAAAAAAAATATATACGACGTATTCTGAAATTTTGTATGTTATTTGATATAATTTTTATTTTATAAAATATTAATTATAACCTAATCTATGCACTTATGATGAGAAATCTATAATAAGAAACGGTTTCTATTTATGCACAGATTCCATGTATTTCAATATCTAATAAAGTAATATTAAAAAATATGAAAAATGAAATGGTTTGCGGAATTTGATATGATTTTTTTTCTATATCTTTATTATATTTAAAAGAGAATTGTAATAAATGTGGACATCTAATAGGTGTAGAAACTAATAAGATAGAATCTTTTTCTAATTAAAATTTTAATAATACCTAAAAAAAGAGTGATATGTTTCTTTATATTTCAAATATTATCAATTTATTATCCATATTTACTGTGTCAAAATAGACATTTGAAAACAATCCCTTAATTATAGATTCCTTGTGTTTAGACATTTAACGGACAAGTTAGGAACAAATTAATAAGGAAAATTTGTATATTTCTAAAATTTTTATATTACTTCATATTTCAAATATATAGAAACAAAAAAAAAGGTATATATCTATATATATAGAAAGATATTTTTTCATTTTATTTAATTTGATCTTATCTTATATATACTTGTCATGAAAAGTATATCTTATTTTTTTATTCACTGCCAAAAGTTTATAATAGAAAAAACTGACAATAAAGTCAAAAAATTTTAGCATGGTCAAGTTTCTATATCTTATTTATTACTAAAAAAACGTAAAGATAGATATGTTGCCTCATATAGTATAACTGTATTATACACATTTACCATAAAATATATATATATATATATATATAATCTGGAAAATAAAATAATAACAATATATATATAGAGAGAGATGGTGGAATATATAAAAAATAATAATAATAAATTGGAACTTAGAAATTCTCCTTGTGGAATTCAAATTTGGTAGTGGTCTTCCTCGAAAAATCTTGAGACAGCCTCCTCAACTCCCCTGTTAGGCTTGGTCTACCGCAGTAAAAAACACCTAATGGCAACACACGAGTTTAAAATTACAAGTTAATTATATATATATATATAAGGACTAAAACGATTCTAAATTCCAGCCCTACATATATTTTGTATCATTTCTAAAATTAATTCTTAGATTTAAAAAATAGTTTGATTTCCGGTTTTGATTTATTCGGATAGTTCAGACTTAAATTAGTTCGGTTGAAACTTAAAAAAAATGAGATAGGGGTGATGTTTCGATATTCGATTTGGATTCGGCTCAACAAAAATATATACCAATGTTTATTATTTCATACTCAATTTGATTTCGGTTTCGGTTGGTTCGATTTTTATTAAAAAAAATTAGATTTTCTTAACAAATTTTCGATTTTTCGGGTTTTTAAAATTTTTGGTTCGGTTTGATTCTATAAAAATAGGATTTCTAGATGATTCAGTTCATGAACCGTACCGCATTTTTCGGTTCAGTTATAAAGTACCCGAAATGCCCCCAGTTAATTCATAAAACTTAAATACTCAAACTAAACTGGAATCATATTCAAAAATAAATCTAACTTACCGATTCGTTGGTCGACATGATTGACGGCGACATGTTTGAACACACTTCGCCAATTCGGTCGGGCGAAATGGGTCCGAACCCGAGTACCCGAGACGATGTCCACACCGTTCTTGGCATGGTGAAGCGACTGTAACATAGTGATGAGAGCCGATCTCGCGTCTCCTTCTTCATATACACTCGTACAATAGTTATGGAGCTCGATTATACGATCTGTATCGTATTCAGCCACCTATATAAACAAAAAAACCCGAAATACCATTATATATATGATCGTGTTCAACGAAATATATATTATAGTATATAGATGCTCGGTTTAGACCGGTTTGTATCGGTTTAGACCTCGTTCATGACTTCTCTGAACCATTCGAAAGATCCTTGCTCTCGTGTTACCCAGTAGAAGTAGACTCGTTTCGTGGCGAAATGTTTCTTGGCGTTTTTATGATCGTTGCCGCTTCCATCTTCGATCGATTTCTGGGTCTTGATGTTGTTGATGACATCTTTGATGATGCTAATTAACGGGGTGGCCCCGATTCCCAGACCTACTAGGAGCAATACGTCGTAGTTACGGTAATCTTGTGCGGGTGCACCGTATGGACCGTCGATCAATAGTTTTGGTAACCTGTGCGAAATTTTATAAAATTTTGTATTGTTGTTAATATATAACTTATAATGATTTAGATGCTTTAATTATTTAGAATTTACCTATATATATATATATATATATATTACCTAGGTATGTTCCTGGCTTGAGTAATATCAGTTCCCACAAATTCACTTTCATCGGCTGATGGAGACCGACAAACCTACAATTCACCGTTATAATAAATTAAATAAAAACCCAATCTAAAATCAACATATTCAAATAAATATAAAATAATACGAATTTCAAAATAAAAACCCTCGTAATTTATTTTTCAACCCAACCTTGAAAAATACGTCCCTGAGTTGCGATGTCCAGTCGCCGAGTGTACGGATATGAATACTGATGTAATCGTCTCCCGGGGCCGAAGTAATCGAAAACGGATGCCTGAACGGTCCATAATCAATGTTATTATTATTATTATTATTATTATTATAATAATAATAATAATAATAATAACAACCAAAATAAAAAGTTTAAGTTTTTTACATTATTATCATTTTGAAATATTTTTTAAAATTATTTTTACCATTGAAATGGTGACACGTCTGAACAATTCACAAATATGTACTGGCCGCTTGTGTATTTGAACCCTTTAGGTTTTGACATATGAAGAGACAGCACGTTTCCTGGGTATACCGCAACCTGTAGTGACAAATATATCAGAATAATTTAAATTAAATTATTCATTTCCTCTATAACATCGCATATGCTTTGAATATATTTCGTCGGTCCGAATACTAATTTTCGTATGGATTTAAAAAATGCAAAATTTATTTTCGATACCTTTAAAATCTTCACGGTCTTGTAACCAGACCTAAACGCACGAATCAGTCGTTCGCATGCATATAACAGCATGGGAATAGCCAGATACATCCACGTCTGTCGAAGCCATAAAATATATTTACATATCCATTCCAAAAGCAAAATGAAATATTTTTTTAAAAAAATTATATATATATATAAAAATTAAATGTGTTATGTATTTACGTACCGTTTTCTTGTACCATTCTTTGGAAAGATAGAGAAAATAGCCATGCACGATGAAAAGCGCGTAGACAATGACGAACAAGTGGTGAGAGTACCAAAACGCGTTGAACCCAGTCAAACGCTTCAGCGTCTGCGGTAGGTTAACGCGATTGCGTCTGAACCACGGTTGGGCCAAAACGTAGGCAACGGTCATTAGAACCACCATGGCCACGCCGGTCCATCCCTCCGTCCCCTTCACGAACCACCAGTAGTTGTTCGGCCTCTTCTCCCCGAAGAATTTCTTCATGGGTTCATACTCGGCGTCCGTTGCGTGCAACAAACGCGGGAAATCGCAGGTCAAGTGCGATATGGCGTGTAAGCCAACCCCAATCGCGATTCCAAACGCAATCACCTAGAGAACAGCATAAGTTATGTACATTTCATTATTAAACAATAGAGAGAGATATGACACCTAGCTATTGTTGGAATATTTCTATCATTGATATGGATCAAAACTTTAATGAAATTCGATCTGTTTTATAATCACCGATTTTGTGATCTAATGGATCTGTTTTATAATACCTTGTGGAAGTTGATGTTATCATCAAAGGGGACAATGGAACCAAGCTTGGTCTTGGTCCTAAGCCAAGTGATAGTGTTTCTGCAGACAGGGAACAGAATGAGAGCCATGTTGAGCTTCGTGGTCTCTGCGCCGCCTTTAGCCACCGTCACGCAGTATCCCATCACATCGAACACGGCCCTGTCTTTGTACTGAACGAATTTCCACGTGAATAGACCGACGCATATCGATATCCATAACGCTAACACCCATATCCTTTTCCGATTTTCCGACACGAAATAGGCAAAACTCTTTGCGTATTTTGTGATCGGGTTCTTTTCCTTCGTCGGAACGAGTTTCTGACTCAGCATCTGACTAAGCAAAACTCGGCTGTTCGTTGCCGATGACACGTGTGCCGATTGGCTAGGAGCTTGTATGAGCAGTGTTTCCAAGTTGTGTAACTGCAAACAAGGGGACTGGTCGTTATTACCGTTAAAAGGGTAAAACAGTAATTTGAGTATTAGACCTAACGCGCTTGGGTTGGATCTGATCCGACACTTCTTAAACGAGGTTGTGTTTTTTGTGAGAAAGTTCCCAAGCCATCGGAGTTACATTTAAAAAAAAATGATATGATTTGGCAAATAATGTGGATTCATTTCTACCTGTATCTGATATTTATATTTGAATTTTATCGGTTACAATATTTATCTACAATAAAAAAATAAATAAATGAGATCAATGTCATTACGAACCTCGATGTATCCAAGGTTGTCGCGATCGAGTTCTTCCATTATCAAAGCAGTGTATTCTTCTACTCTTTCTTGAATCTTAGATAGTTTATTAGCTGAAGCACTTAGAGCAATGATCTGCAAACCAGTAAAATATTTTAATTAATCATATTATAATATAAAAATTGTATAATCCTTTAACTAATGCAAATTTGTGGGTTCACCACCTCCTTAACCTCCTCTTCGGTGATTCGTCCATCCAAATTTTTGTCAACCCTAATGACAACATGGAATCGAAAAGCACAATCATAATCATAATCATAATCATAATCAAATCTCTTAATTTATAACAATATGCACTATATTTAAATAATTTATAGTCACGCTTATTGGTACCTTATATCAAAGAGAGAGAGCGAGAGGAAAAAACAATTGCTATCAAAACCTAGTTGTATAGACATGTATAGTATATGGCCTGTGGATTAAAAAAATCATTACCAATAAATAGATAATGAAATGAAAGGATCGTGCTTACATATCAAAAAATATTTGCAATCTAGCATCAAAGCTTTTGTCCGTAATCTCCTCCCAAAATTCAAATAATTCACTTTTTGTTATAAAAGATGAAGTTATTCCTCTTCTCCGGGCCAACGCGTCGAATAATGCATTCACAAATTCTTCAGATTCCATTATCCCTATAAAAAAAATAAAATCACAATTTTTTACATATATATAATGGTTATAAAATATTTAATTCATCATCAATATAGAATATAATAACAATCGAGAACTACTATACATAGATGTGTATACTATACACACACACATACACATATATGTCCATTAATATGTGTTTTGGTGGTAAAGTATATAAGCATAATATATATACACATATACATATATGTATTTTTACCAATGCATTGGCCGAATTTTGATTTTGGAAGCTTTCCTTCAACAGCCAATTCACCAAATCTTTTATCGACCTCTTCCCAACCTCCACAGCCGTTTCCTACGGCGTCGTTTTTGGTTATAAACTTCAACCCCTTCATAGCAAATGCAGCACCCGACTTAGATCGGTCCAGCCGGTCGAACCGGCGTGAAGAAAATGACGAGGACTTAACCATTGTCCTTAACCGGCCCGAGATCCGACCAGACAATACCGACCCGATAGATGACAGCCTCTTTTCCTGCACTGTTCCGTCCATATTATGCATCAAAACAGCGTCGTCTCGGATGTCGAGTGTGATCTCGACGTACTCGTCAGCCGAACCGGAGGCATTGCTGGTTGTACTGCCGGTTACGTTGAACCGGGCGGTTTTCTTGCCGGTCACCGGTTTTCTGGAGAGCGGTCCACTCAACGGACCGCTTCCGTAATACGACGGCGTTTTGGTGCTTTCCGCGTCGGACCATGCTTCCTCCTTGCTGTGTTGGCTGTCTCCCATTGGCTACAAAGATTCATGTACTAGTTAAAACAAAATAATTAAAAAAAGGAATACCCATGTGTCATGGACTAAATAAACGGATGTTAAAAGCTAGTTGGCAAAATAAAAAAAAATAGAAAATCAAATATTAACAACCACAAAAATATTCCATGAAAATAACCTATAAAAGAAATACATAAATGTCTCAATTTACCTCAATATCCATGTGACGGCTAATTCGAAATATATGGTAACAACAAATGAAATCGAACACAATGGGAGAATGCTTGTCTTGTGACATTGAAAAGGCATGAGAGTGAATATGTGTATATATAGATAGAGATGTAATGTAGATAGGATAAGTTGGTTAAGGGGTTTAGTGGGTAGGGGTTGAAAAATACGAAAACCGGTTTCAAAAATATTGGGAAAACCAAGGGGCCGCCATTCGGTGTGTTGTCTGTTTTGTTATTATTTTATTTCATTTTTATTTTATATATATATATATATATATATTGTTCTGTTGTAGTGGTAAGATGATCGACATGTTTTCGCGTTCCACCCTTAATATAGTGTGACTTTGTATTTTCATCTATTTGATCATGTTTACCACTAGATAAAATCCATACATAATATACTTTTGATTATCTACTCATGAATTATTCGTTTGATTTATATACAGTCCGATTTACAATATATATATGAGCATATATATATATGACATATTTAATATTGTATTTTATGCTGAAGTATTTTCTGGCGTGACAATTAAAAAAACATGGATTATATATAGGACAAATCTTAGCATTTTGTTTTTTAAGCACCACATTAGACTAATATTTAGTAATTGACAAAAGGTTAAAAAAGTAGTCTAATATATGGTTATCGGTAGTTATCAATTGTTCTATTTTAATTCATTCAATTATTTGGATTGATGAATGGTTTCTATTTTTGTTTTCTAGTTGGTGTAATTTCAAATAATTTTGCAGATAATAATATAAATTTTGGATTTATAATTTTAAAAAAATTATATTCTTAAAAATTTAAAATTAATTATATAAATCACATATATTAATTCAACAATCTCTCCTCTACTTATTAATATTATTCACCTGTTAAAATTCTATAAATGAACGTTAATTCTTTCATATTTCTACTCAACTTGTTAATATTTTAAATTCTATAAATTCTCTAAAGTCTATTTTTAATATTTGAAATTATATGCAATGCTGTTTGTCTCGTGATGTTTAAGGTAAACCAACAAACATTTTGGCGTTATATATGGAGAAACGTCACATTGATTCTCTTGATATGTACATATATATATTATATAAAGAATTATGATAAATTCACACCTTATGTTGGGTAAATTTCTCATTAATTGTATACAAAATGTCATGCAATTGCATGAATCACAGACTAATAAAGTCCCATGACATGTCGCCAAAACAATGAAAGATAACTCTAAAAAGTAGTATATTCAGTATTCCACGATATAAAAATTTAATAAATATTTAAATAGAAAATCAAACAAACACCAAAAACAAGAAATCTTTGTTATTACGATAAATTCTTCTTAATTATTGAAAAAAATAAGGTGTATATATTATTAAGAGATATGGAGAAGATTCGAGAAGATTACGTAATATTTAGATTTGATTTTATTTCTATATTTTCTATATTTATATTGATTAAATAAGATATGTTGTGATTCTATTTTCTACCTATAAATATTGTAATTCTCTATGTTGAATAACGAGAAATCCAAACGATTATCCATCTATTTCTCTATTATATATATATACACATAAACGAATTACATGTTTTTATATAAATATATATGATTGGGACATATGTTTCTTACTTGCAATTATGCAGTTCTCCCCTTCACATATTCTATCGAAAAATTAATTTTTTCTTCATCTATTAAATTTTAGTTCAAAAAATATTACAATGTGTAGTTGGAGTAGTTAGCTTTTAGAATAAGGATATTTCGTTGTATGTTATCTTGTTATTAAAAACTCTATGTATGCGATACGCACGGAATCCTTCTCACGTCCATGTATTGAGGTATAGTATTTAGATTTAAAAGATTAGCTCAATATTACGATATACTAAGATTTGTTGTTATATTTTTAGATATTTATATAAGACGATTAATAATGCAATATATAATATAACAATTCAATAATATATACATAAATAAAAAAGCATAAAAAGTAGCTACAATTATTGTTAACTCACGTTACGAGAACTATAGGTGACGTGAGGTTGATGAGAAGATGATATCACAAATACTACTTGACAATTTATAAATAATAATGATTACTAAAATTTACAGCTTTATCAGGAACAAATATATATATATATATATATATATATATATACATATATATAATGTTATTCCAATTTAGACTGTTAAAAACCTAGCCGATCATATATATATAATTATATATATGTAATGTTATAGCCAATTCGATGTAGTTGAATGTCAGTGGAACATCCTAATTTTGACTGTCATTGCACAAAAGAGAACAAATAATAAAACTATGGACCAAAAAATACAAACAAACCCATGGAATTTCTCACTCTGCAAGACCATTTGGATCACCGGGTTTGATTATTCCGCCACCTCTCTCAACTTCATGGCATATATATATATATATATGGAAGCCAACAGTTGTATCGCTGTCATCCGGAAATAGAGCGGTTGCAATTTATGGCAGTTGAAGATATTAGAAAACTAACTCTAGAACCGCTATAATATCCTTAGCGTGCTAATACATTTTTTCATTTTATCCCATTTATGATTTTATGTGATCGATCACTTGTTAAAACGTAAAAATAAAATAAAATTTTAGATATCATTTGAAAAAAAAACGATAGTATTAATATTAAAATTTTATAGGATGTAAGATAACATAATTATTTTCAAGCAAATTTGTGAATTAGCCCAATTGATATGGAGCTTTACCGTGACAATTATACACATACATATTGTTCGTGTATATATATATATATGTATGTGTGTATATATAATTTTAATTTTTAATTTTTCTCCTCGGTAAGGCGTAACAATTTCTTTTTATGATTCGAGATTTGATATAGAGAAGATTGACACGGGATGAACTATAGAAATACTATTGTAAATAGATGTAGGATTTTTAATATAGAATGTTCCATTGAAACTCTATAAATTATATATTATATCTATTAACAATATACACTTATGGTTGTGGTTTCTAGTAAAGTAGTAATATATATTGTTAATATAACAATATACAATTTCATGGTTTACCTATATACAATTTCATGTTTCTATATGCAGCCATTTGCGATAATAACAAATGAGTAAAACCACTTCTTATATTTTATTTGACCTTTGAAGGTTTCTCTATGCCTGTATTATTTAGAAAAAAAATCTCTAAAATGTGAATATATTATTGTTTTGGTTAGAGGCATTATCATATGAATAATCATTTCACTGATTTTCTTACATATTATTGGCCGTCCAGCCTGTCCTTTCACCCTTTCAAATTTCAACCACTTAGTTCCCAAAAAATAAAATGAAATGGAATAAAATGATAAAATCTAACTATATTAAATTGAATTAGATTCGAAAGAAGTTTGATTATAATTTTTTAAATCAAAGTTATTCAAAATTGAAATGGATATAAATTAATACTATATAATCTAAACCTAATCATTTTTTTGTAGGTTTAGAGAAATTTAAGATTCATTCCATAATTTGCCAAACTAAAACTAGGGTAAAAAAAATCCATCCTTAATCTCATTTCGGTACGAATACCCGAAAAGGGAATATTTTTTTTAACCTGATCCTATGACACATTAATTCATCCATTTTGAAAAGCAGGAATCACAAGATTAGAACATATAAAATAAAAATATCATAAACAGCACCAAAGGAAATTACATGAAATAGAGAATGAGAAAAAAAACATTAATTTCCATTTTTGTTTTGCAGCAGAAATAAAGAAAGAAAAAAAGGAAACATTATTTAAAAGTCGAAATCGCCACCAAAGTCATCAGCCGTCTCTGCCACGTCAGAAATGGCCTCTCCCACAAGCAACCCACCCAAAAGCCCAGCTCCAAGCCCAAGACCAAGCCCAAGTCCTGAAGATCCATGCTTCTTGGGCTTTTGTGGTTTCCCTTGAACCACTTGCTGCGGATAACCGTATGGGCCCGGGGCCGGGTAACCCGGATATCCGTATCCGGGAGCAGGCGGGTATCCGGGATATCCGTGTTGCGGAGGTGGTGGGTATCCACCGGGTGGAGGGTATCCTGGAGCCGGTGGATATGCACCGGGTGGTGGATATGCGTATGCGGTCCCGTGTTTGTCATCGTGGCCTTGGCCATGACCCGGTGGCGGATACCCGGACGGCCCGGCTGCGGAAGGAGGATACATGCCACCGTATGGACCTGGCGGGGCAGCGTGGCCGGGCGGGTAGGCCTGGACGGGCTGGTCCATGGTCTTATGGTCAACGGGCAGCGCGCTGGGGCCAACACTAGGCCCATTGGGCCCGTAGGTAAACTTCTCACCGAATTTGAAGGAGAATTTTAGAGATCCCTTGGCCTTCCCATTCGGCAGCCTCACGGCGTAAGTCACCGTCTTCTCTTCGTCGCCGGACTTGGAGTTCTGATCCAAGAGCTCCTTCACCGGAACACTCACCTCTCCGATGACTTTGTCGCCGGCGATCGGCCGATCGGCGATGATCTGAAAGACCAGCGTGAGGCGATTCTCACGCGCCGCCGTGTCGTCGACGGTGAGCTTCACGTGATGCTTCCACTTGGGCTTGGTGCCGCAGTCTTTGTCCACCGGAGTTTTCTGTTTCGTACGCGCGTCTCCGTTGATCGAAACGACGGCGTACACGTCCTGTTTCCCGATCATCTGAATATCCTTCAGATCCTCCGCCGATATGATCGTCAGATCCAACGGTCTACACTCCATGATTTGATTTCTCCGATCCGCGATTTCCTCCGATCGAGCCTTCGAAATTCCTCAAAAGGGCCTTTTCAAAAACCGATTTTGTTTTCTGGGTCAATGAAAAAAAACCGATTTGCAGAGAAATTTGTGGCCTGGGAAGATCTATATATGAGTTTACGGGTACGTGTGTATATATATACACAATAAAGGAATATCTAAAGTCGGTAAAAAGAGCTTTGAGGAAAAGCGGAACGTACACGGGGTAAATAAAGGTTGTTTAGGTGTTTCTTTTTTATTAAGATTTTAATCTGATCTTTTCACGCGTTAATATTAATAATAATGGTAAATATTTGAAAAAATAAAAAATAAATTATGTGTGCATTTATCTACTATTTATATAATTTTACTTTTTTTAACGGATAAAGTTAGATTATGCTGGATATAATACGGATTTTGTAACTGCTAACCTAAGCTATAAATTATTCTGCAGATATCGGAGAGTTTTTTTTTTAAAATATATGCTACTCGATTTTTTATTAATATTTAACTCTTATATATATTTAAAAAAAATCAAAATGAACTCAATCAATATTGACACCAATAATATAGCACAAAAAACACCTAAATAAATACTTCCAAATGAATTATAAGCAAAAGGTTAGACTAAAAAAATATGTATTTATCCTCTCGTATATCATCCATAGAGTTATATTAGTGGGATCTAAAACCAAAATGACCAGCTAAATATACTTGATTAATTAAATTGTGTATGTTCGTACACATTTTTAGCTGTTTAGTTTAATTGAGGTAAACCATATATATTAATGTACAGTGTTTGATAACATATTAGTATTGTTTTTCGACCGATTATAATCTTTGGTAGATAAATAAACTTTTTGTCTATTTTTAAATATTTAAATGTGTTTTTTTTTATGTCAAAAGTTGATATTTGTTTTTTTACTAAAATTAAAATTCGGTATTCCGATCCGGAAACTGAGATAACTAACTATATAGATTTTGTACATTCAAAATTCGAAAAACAAAGAAAATTGGATAACATTAAAAAAAAAGGAAAAGGAAAAATAATCTTTGGGGCATGAAAAGGAATATTCTTGAAATAATGGGAAATGCGCGTGGAAGACGCGTAGAATGATAAACGCATCCTTATCAAAGAAGGGTTCTATTCTCGAGGAATTGAATTAGTCGTCCCTCCCACTTTTCCTTTTCCTTTTTTTTTATTTATGTAATTATATATATATATATATATATATTTATATGCTTTTATGTGAATTCAAGTCCATTAGAAGTGGGCGGATTTATCCATTTTCGGGGTATTATATGACACATTCCAAAATTTGGATATGAGAATAAATTTTATTGGCGTGATATCAGCCATCAACGAATCAGATTTGAGCTCTATGCTTTCATTGTCATATACATATATATAACCTCTCTCGGAGTTAGTGTCTTTGGAGTGAAGTATCTTCGGGAATATTTTTGTATCTATTTTCCATCATATATATATATATATATATTCATCCAAATAAATTTAAAAATGTGATATCCAAAATCTACTAAAAATTCATAAAGATACGTCATAAATCTATCCAACAGTTACTAATATTGATAATTATTGGAATCAAATAGTATAACACAATATTTAAAAATGATAATTTATATGAATAAATATTGTAGATTTATCTCTTCAAAGATGAGTAAAATAGAGAAAAAAAATGAAAGTAATTTGCAGAGATTATGAAATACAGAGATTATGAAAACATTATAAAAAAATATTTATATAAAAAAAAGAAAACATTATAAAAAAAAAACCCTATTTCCAAAATCTCACTTGTATACAAATTCTTTCTCCAAATTCTCAGGCGACTTCCTCTGAGTCTTGCTTCGGACGCTTCCATACAATAGGCGGAAGTCTAGGGACGACCACAGTTATCGCTGGGCTGGATTCCTCTATTCCATTCAGAGTCTTATTCACCCTCGTCGCTTTCTTCTCAAGAAACCTAAGCCTTGAATCCTCTATTTGATCCAGCGGTTTACTCGTCGTGACTTTCTTCGCAAGCAAGCTTCTATCCGCTCTGTGCTTCGCTGATTGCTCTTTCTTCTTCAGAGAACTTTCTGGTTTACGCCGTTTAGCCGTGCCCCTCATCTTCTTTGTTGTAAATAAGCCTGATTCAAGAGCTTCTAGAGCTCGGGTCGTCAATGGCCGCTTTCTTGTACTCTGTCTTCTAGGAACAACATCCATGTTAATCAGCTGCTCTTGTTCTTGCTCTTGTTTTTGTTCAGATGAACCGAGTTCATGGATAGTTCCCAGTCTTTTGGACGAGCAATTAGTCTCTAACTTCTGCAAAGACGAGGGCTGAACTAGTTGCTCTTGTTTTTGGCTAGTCCCCAGATCCTCGGAGGTCTCCACAGACAAAGCCTACTTCGGAGGAATCCTCCATTTCTTGTCCAAATCTGATATGGAACAGAACCGATTTGGTTGATATTGTTGTTCCGATGATATGGCTTCATCATGAATGGTTCCCAGTTCCTTGGAGTAGCAGTCTTTGTCCGAATCCAACATGGAATAGAACCCGTTTGATCTAGTTTCTTGCCTGTCTTGATTCTTAACAAGTGTAGGCTGCCCGATTCCAGGCACTTCTGGCCGATCAGGTTTTGAGTTCGTATTATCAAACGAGAGCACGGTTTCAGATTTCTCTCCGTTCTCTGGATTCATCTCTTCTCGAAACCTATCTTGGCACTGAACCTCGCGGGGGATATCAAGTCAGAAGAGACTTGTCTGGTCAGATTCAGATGCCTTGAACACAGGACTTTCACCAGAACGATTTGTTTCCCTCCTAAAGCAAGTTCTGAGCCGCCTTCGTTTCAACAGGGGGACAGAATTAACTGAATGATCGTTAGATTCTGCTCCTCGAATGAACTTGTGCTTGATAACCCTCTTTGATCGACCCCGATCCTTCTTCAAAGTCTCTTCCTTTGTACCGAAATCAGCTCCCCTCTCCAGCAGATTCTTGTGAGAATTAAGGGTCTCAAATGGATTCTCGTTTGCATTTACGTTCAAATCAAAACAAGCTCGGGTTTGTTCAAATCCATCAAATGAATCGCCGGAAATCTTTCTCAGGGTGGATTTACTTGTATCCACGATCGTGAATCTCTTCGGATCCTCAACTAAATTCTTTGCATGTCTTCTTTCCCTTTTCCATCCATCAACACCATTGACATTCTTCTTTCCATCCACTGGAAACATTTGGCAAACTTTTGCCAGTGCTGACTTATCTTTGTACAGATTCCTAAGCTCCCATAAAACGCACGATTTCCTCCCTGCTTCCAAACCAGTGCCCAGAACAGTGAACTTCATGTGCAAACTCTGACTGTTAGGACCTGGAGACCTGAGGAAACGACGAAGTTGGCTGTCCCTTGGGGAAAATTCTCGATCTGATATGTCAGAAGAGTCCTTTTGAACAAACTCATTGGCGACTTTGACCTCTCCGAACTCGAGAAGCTCGGGATCGGAAGCAACCTTTTTCAGAATGTCACTGACAGAATCAAAGTAATGGTTTCCTCTAACGAGTTCCCATCTCGAAAACTTCTTCACGCCAGGCACAAGGAAGACAAGGTAATCTTTAGACGTGACATAGCCATAGCCATAGCCATAGCCATGGTCCTTGGGCTGCTCCGAGTGCCAGCCTCTTGCTAGCAAACGCGGCCAGACAGCTTCCCAGAAGATATCATTGCAACGGGCTTTGCTCAGACGGGAACCACATGTCAACTCTTTCACTATGTCACTTGATGTGAGTGAAGCAAGAGGACTTGCTTCAGATGTGTTTGAAGAAACCTTGAACCATTGTTTCGTCTTGATGGGTTCTGTCCCTGAGATCGTCAGATCTTCTTTCGCTTTACCGATTGCCACAGCATCCACAAGAGCCTGGAGACCGACGATTTTCTTCATCAGGCTGACAAAATTCTCCAGCGAAGTGTTTCCTTCAGCAAATGTCTTTGAGACCTGCTAGTGGTGAAGCAAAGAGCAAAACAAGCAAACTCACGTGAAAAACACGAACTTTTTCAAGAAAACTGATACCGGATGCTATCCAGAACTGATTTATGCAACATTCTGAAGTGTTTCTGTGCAAAGATGTGGAAGAGACTCACATTCACGAGCTTATCTTTCTGAGATTCATCGGGAAGTCTGGGAATCAAACGGGATAACAACTCCTGCTGCCTCCAACCTGAATAGAGCTTCATTCCACATACACATTTCCGGTTTCGCTTCTTACGAGAATCAGACCAACTCCGGTATTTGGCATATTTGTAGAACTTTCCGTAGTAAAAGGAAAGTATCTCTCCCATTTCTTTACTCTCCATGAACTTCTTGACCTGAGTAAAATTCTTCCCGAATGTATACAGCCCAAGAACAAAGCTATCCACGTCAGAATCTTTCCAAGAACTGGCCGACTGCAAGGGAACAGCTTCAAGATTCAACCTTTCCTCTATCCTTGTTATAGGTTCCAAAATCTCATTGACCTGGCGAGCTTTGATCTTTGGACGGAGACTTTTGCATTTTGCTCTTAGTGATCTGAGAGATTCATACATGTCGACATCGTTATCTTCAAGTCTCTGTTCATATCCGAGCTTGCTAGTACCGTTATCTATCCATGCCACTTGGATGGATAGTCCCACAGCAAAGGAATATGAAGAAGAATCAGAGACAAGTTCAGGTACAGACATCATTGAAGGCACCTCGACCTGGTATTCATCTCCAACCCGAGGATCAACTTGAGGGTCTCCACAGACAAAGCCTACTTCGGAGGAATCCTCTGCATTATCTCTTTGGTCCAAATGATTGTTCTCCTCGTCGCCCAGACAAACCATCATAAACAATAGAGGAGATCCTTGAAAGAATCCTCTGCATAAATGGAAAATCACGTTCCTATGTTAGCAGATTCAGCAAATCCATCAACTAAGATCAGACATTTGATTCACTAATTTCACCGTTACACAAGTTTCAAGAAAGCAAGAGCTACAAACTTAGATACCATTACCAGACAACTCAGACAAAAAGCTTAACAGCAGACACATACATTGTCCAAAACTTGACACATTAGGTTGAATAAAGTGTCCAAATATTTTAGATCACATCACCAAACTGAACACTCCATAACCAGATATCATAAAAGTGAAGAATTGCCAAATCTTCATCAATCCAAGCCATGATCAGTGTGAACCAAATCTAGCAGAACCCATGTAGGGTTTATCCAAAAGATAGCGAAACACAAAGAGGCAAGACATAAACCTAGCCTTTTCAGAGCCAAATCCAGTTGAAACACAAACCCATAATCAAGAAACACGACTAATCTCACGCGGGAATGACAGAAAACGAGACCTGATAAGCGCAAAACCACAAACATCGATCCTGAGCATCATCAACTAGCAGCATAAACATGTGATTCTAAGTGATTCCCGTTAGGGTTTAACCCGTATGAAGACGAGACGATCAAAACGAGCGCATCGCAATGGCACCCGAGGAAAAAACAACACAAGCCTCTGAATCTTTACGCAGACAGAAACGTGAGAAACACAGAATAGATGGGTACTCATGAAAGGATGGATCCAACATCTGTGTCCCATTCTTTCCTCGATTTTTATACATTACGAGTAGCGTTACGACGCAGGAAAGAAACCCAGAAAGGGGAAAAGAATAAACGAGAACGGCAACATGAATTGCCAAAAAAACACGACATAAAGAACAAACAGAGAGAGATTGGTAGACCTGAGTTATGGTTTTTTGTGATGGAGAAGAGAAGAGGTTTCAGCGTTGCATTGCTCGTGTTTATGCGACAGTGAAATTCTCGAGTGGACAACGAACGAATACTAGGAACCACGAAGAAGTTTATTTCTTGTAGAGAGAGAAAGTGGCTTCAACACGAAGTCAGAGAGAGAGAGAGAGAGAGAGAGAGAGAGAGAGAGAGAGAGAGAGAGAGAGAGAGAG